GCCTATATGGTAGCGCTGGCTCTGTAAGTGACAGGCTGGGCTCGGGAATAAGCGACGCGCCGGACTCGTGAATAAGTGACGCGCCGGACTCGGGAATAAGCGACGCGCCGGACTCGGGAATAAGCGAAGCGCCGGCCTCGGCAATCAGCGACGCACCGGACCCAGGAAAACAGTGGACTTAGCAGTAAAAACAGAAGGTTTCAAGCAGCTACCGCTCTGGAACGCACCGCTTTCGGTTTGAACAAGCCCTTATGATAAACCCTCCCCAGGCCCACCTACCTGCTTGTTTCTGTCGCCCTAGTTGGTGCAGCCTCAGCCTGGTCAGATGCTCTGCTCCTGCAGAGCGCACACTGGATGAGCAGGAAAGTGCCGCTCGCTGTCCACAGTGACAGCCCGGGAGCCTCCATGCTGCCCGGTGCTGCAGCATCTACCATGATCGATCTGCCCTGTCAGCTTGCTTGGGGCGGCCGCGGACGGGTCGCATCTCACTCGGCCTGGCATAGCCCTGCCTCAGGTCCTGCCACGGCCCCTCCTCTTCCACCACCTGACCGTTCTCTCTGTGCGGCCCAGCTCGCCGCAAGGACCGCAATCGCCGCCCTCACCCCATCAGCGCTCTCGGGCGGCCGCTTGCCTTGCGGTAGCGCCTGGCCTGGCTGTGGGGGTGCCTTGGACCTGACCCCACTGGGCCCCCCCACAGCCTCGGGCCCCCGCACCGGTTGCACCGGCGGTAGTTCCGCCACTGGAACAGACATAACATGTCCTTCGGACCATATTCTAGAACAGTTGGCAGAACAAGCATTTCAGAACATATTGTAATAAAGGCATAACATGCCCCTCAAACCACATTCTAGTGCAGGCAGTACATGGTCCTGTCCCTTTGTTTCTGTGTATTAATTGAGACATTATAGGTTGGGTCGTGATGAATGTATTCTTTTAAAATGAGAATGAAATCTGAAAAACAATGGACCTAAACTTAACCCTGAATATGCTTTAAAGAGTCAGAATAGTGTGTGCTTTAACGCAATGTTTCTCACTTTTATTATACCAAATGTTTTCCATTTATCCCTTGGTGTGTCATTTTATTTCAAGTACCCCCTCAAACGTGTACATTTATTGGCTATATCTCTATATGTATATGAGTTCTTTTTTTATGATTCTTTATACGTTTGTAATAACTAAAATGGCTAATTAAGCTTGTTTTGAATATTTAGCATGCACATAGCTTACAGAGTTGTACGTGACCTTAAATTGCCCAGCCACAGTACCCCCTGCAAGACATGCCCCGTGGAGGTATATGGACAGTAAATTCTGAACTATTGGTATTACACACCCCATCTAATTGTCAAATTCTCATTTTTGAGAGGACGTATTCTCTTCAAGAATATGGTGGCTTGGACATTGAGAGCAATTCCACCTTAAAACAGCAGTTTTATACCCCATAGTTTCATTAGTCAGCACTTACATATTATTTAAATGAGACCAGCTCTGGCTTGGCCTACTGTTTTGAATGACCTAAAGACTACCCTTATTATAATATGCTTACTTGCCTAATTGATGTTTATTGTATTTCAGAGCTTCTTTGACTGGGATGTGACTAAGAAAAAGGATAAAGGAAAAGGAAGACAAGAACCTCCACCAAACTGTATGTGGTAAAGTCTGGGTATATAGTGTTTCTGTGCTGGTCCTAGTATTGTTTGTTACAGCTGCCAAATTTTATTTTCAGATGAGAGGCACCGCGTCCGACTCCACCCTCTTCAGACGGAATGCAGCTCAGAAGAGATAAATGCCAACTACATTGATGTAAGTATTATATGTATTTAGTATTTACAAGTTGTACAGATCACCTATTAGGAATGTTTTCTGTGTAGTACTCATAGGTGTGTGCAGAGGGTGTGCCTGGGCACCTCATAATCACCCTGAGCACAACACTGAAACCGCAACAGTGGGCGACGTTTTTTTAGTCACTGAGCCAGTGGAGAGATCACAAAAATCTCTCTATGACCAGCTCAGCGATACAGAATGCAGCAGCACTTGCCACTTACATTCCTCACATAACAGCAGCAGTCCTCGGTGCTTGGGAAGCTGCAAGGGAGCGTGGCTGCAGCTTTCCAGGCTTCCCGTCCAGTCAGAAAGCCGGGTAGGTGGTCACATGACCACCTGCCAAGCTCCCTGCTTTATTACTGTACCCCTGCTGGAAGAAGAAAGGGACAGTTGAAGGGATGGGAATCTGGGATGCTGAATATATAGGTGTGTATGTTTGTACTTTTGCAATAGGCTGCGCACGCCTATGGTAGTACTATATAAATATTTTACACATACAGTAGGAAAAGTGGAAGTGCTTCTTCCAGAGAAACATTTTCAAAACCAGGTCTAGAAAGGTTGTAATATTTCCGTGAGGCCTATTCTTTGATTCAAAAGGTAGTGATTCTGTTACATAGATTATTAAAAAATTTAGCCAGTTGTCAGTTGGTGTAATGGGTAAGAGTAGTTTCAAAATATAAAAGCGTTGATGGTTTGGACAGGTGTCATAAGGCTTTTTCTTTCTTGTTCAATAAGGGACACAGCATTCACTTGTTCAGAGACACCTGGGTTACACTGCTGCCTTCAGGAGGAATTGGACAAGAGACTCCATCAGGTGTGGTCCCCTCCTCTGCCTTATCCAGAGATAAGTTCGCTGCAGCTATGCCTTGTTTTATGGGCAAACTGCAACTGTGATTGCTGGTTCGGAATGCAGAGGCTGCAAGTGTGCTCCAACGCCTCCTCCTAAAGAATCTTTGGCAGGCATACCTCTGCGCTTTTTGTTGCTGAGGTTCTGTCTGAGAAAGAGTCCCATAAATCTTTGATGGATGAATTTGTTTCAAAGGAGCCACAGGCAGCTGCCATAGTCCCCAGTCTGAAAAATACTGTATCTGCTCTTATTGATGCTGTGCGCACCACCTTAAAAGTAGTACAACAGACTAACTTCTAGTTGTGCTTTTACTAGTCTGGCATCTCTGAAAATCCCCAAGACTATCAGAACATTTCTGGTACACTCCTTACTTGAGCCTGTTCCGTTTGGTAACTGGTAAACCCCTGAGAAACTATTCATTCCTCCCAAATGCTTTACAGACCAATACTTGTTTGAGAAGAGGTGTTCCCACTGTGGATCTAGCATTATCCCTCCTCATTAAAACACTGACCATTCCTATAGAGAGTGCACCAATTTTTAAGGATCCCATTGGTAAATGTTTAGAAACCCAAAACATTGTTTTGGCTAGCAGGCCCTACTATGCAACCTGCCACAGCTGTGATGTCAGTCTGCCAAACGTTAAGGGAATGAACTAAACGGATGTAGAAGGATTCAACTACTAATTATTGTATATTTGTAGAGTGTTTGGAAATTATACCTTCAGCCCTATACCATTACGTAGAGGTTAATTTGACATTGCCCATCCTATTTCCCAAATAAGTCTCCTGTCTGAATATTTGGAGAACTCTTTGGCTGAAATATTGGTGGCCTTTGGATGGTGAATATCTCTTTGGAAACCCTTAAATAGGATGGCACTGGGTTAATAGTACCCATTTCTCCTAGCAAAAGAAGCCTAAACCACAAA